AGAAGGAGGATTGGATCTGAAAAGATCACGGAACACATGAGCAAAGAAAATAGAAGTAATGACAAGATTGGCCAAAGGAGGCACGACCTCCATTATTGCATCTCGCATTACTCTAGAAAAACGCGAGAACGGTTAGTGATGGGATCAAGAAAAACCTACGACGGCGAAGTTGGACCTTAACATGATGCGATAGTCGGTAGATATACGGGACTTACTGAGTGATGCCGACAGGTACTTTCCAGATCACCTCAAAGATTGTGAGTCGAACTAAGTCTTCGCATTCTCTTCGGAAGTTGGAGGAAAGACGACGGCCGTCTTCCCTCAAACTTAGCCATGGGAGAAAACTTAGCCATAACAAGCCCACAAGTCGGTTAGTGTAGGGAGCGAGCGCTGCTTACTGTCTCCGGTGGTGAGAGCTTCAACCTATGCTAAATAGTTTACTACCCCACACCAGAAGTCAGGCAATCCCTGGTCGAATGGGTGCAAGCCTCTCAACTCCCACTTGCGGTTGGTCGTGGTAGCAGAAGCGTAACAAACTATATTAAAAAACATAATGTGTTTTGTTTTATATTCCCAAAGGCTGCACGCGAGAGATCTCAAATAGAGCCCAATGGGACTTCACAAGCTCACTCCTGAACTGGACATGTCCACACATGATGCTGAGTCAAAGGGCAAAAGGTGCAGATGGATCAATTGGAACAAAAATTCACAGAATGTGCAGTTATGAAAGTATCATCTACAATCTAGAAACGGTAGACAACATTTTCTCTTACTATTCTCGCTGCTACCAACACTTCTTTCTCATCTATTGAGCAAGACTGTCGTCGTAATGAGACTTGACCCTAACATGATGCGATGGTTTGTGTGTCGCAACAACCCACTGAGCTAGAATGAATGGTGCTTGTTGCACCTTCAGAGCCACTACTACAAGACTTGTCAGTGGTTAGAGGTTTGGCACTCAGTCTTCTGATGCTCCAGATTGAGCGCTGGAGTGATGGTTACTTATTCTGTAAAACGGACTCCTTGCAATTCACTGCAAAACTCACGCAGCCTAGCAGTTTTTGAACCAAACGCTTTGGCTGAGAACCCAGGTCGTTTTGCTATCTAACCCTGGAAACTAACGATATTGAGTCCACACAAAAAATGAAATATCCCACAAATAAGTTCTTGATGCTATGGCTGGCGCAGGTGGCGCGGCAGCGTATGCGATTGCAGAACATTTTTGTTAACTTGTGCTGAAATCAATCATACTCTGGTGTGTGTGGCAATTAGCATGCGTTTCGGTGACCCATCTAGGGCCAACAACAAACGCGAAGGAACGCCTACAAGTTGGAAGACCCAACGGTGGAAACGCAGTATTAACAGACGTTTTGTGAAAATCTCGCACTCCCCTCTACTCTGGATGTCGATCAACAATGGTCGAATTCGCAACAATCTATGCCGTGCGGTGGCTTATTCAGCTGTAGTCGCACTCGTTGCACGGTCGAAAGCTGGATCTCGGTAGGATCCGAGGAGCCGCTAGATCATTGATGGGCTGTGTCCGCTGGTACGAGGCACAACGAACTCCGTCAGTCACTCTATCAATAGCAGAAATCAAGCCTTAGGACTGACCGTGAATTCTGATGGTCAAAAAGAGCTGCTGAGATGGAAGCCGCCGTACCGACTGGAAGCTTCCGCGATTTGTTTTAACACCTCAAGGCCACTGGTTGTAATACACACTATCAGTCAGACAAGCTGTGACTAAAATGGCATGAAAATCACTAGGCTACACAGACGCTTATATCAATGGGCTGAGCACTCTACTTCGCAATGTAACTACCCAAAGCAGCCCGCTGTAACACCTTTGTTTCCCTCAGATGTGCTTGTTCTGTCTCTACCCATCCCCTTAGCGAAGCAGAGATTCAGACCTCACAGCTTACTCCCAGTCCTATTCAGATATGGCTAGAATGCACTTGTCAGCGAAATCATATGGCTGTTCACGAAAGTTTGGATTGACGAGGAAGTTCCAGTTGCATGGAGAGAATCGGTCATTGTATCGAATCCGCGAATATCACTCCAAATACCGCGGAATTTCGTTGCCCTCTGTTGTGTAGAAGATTTTCGTGTCCGTCCTACTCTACAGGCTTTTAGTGACTAGAGAGGGCGTTTCCCGAGAGGAACAAGCCGGTTTTCGTCTACCCTGAGATTGCATCGACTAAATCCTTACACTCCGCCAACTTCTTGAAGTCCATCACGTTCACCGACGGCATTTGAATTAGTAGATGTGTCTGCATTGTGAAACCCTCTATTGGGGAAGTTTGTTATCATCCCAGAGGAACTTTATAATCACACGTCGGGCAGTCAGGGCTTACGACAGGCTTTCCATTTCGTTTGCTGTCACCAGCGGCGTTCGTCAAGTTGCGCTATTCCACCTTCCCCCTTCAACTACCATTGAAGGTACGCCCAACGAGAATTGGAAGGCGTCCAAAAGATATCATCATCACCATCAATACACGTTGGCTGAGGGTGAGTAACACACCTCATCTAATGTGTCATAACACAAAATGAGATTAAACATTACATACTACAAAAACTAAAAAAGTAACAGCATGCTAAAAGCACATCATGCATTCAGTTCGACATCGCCGTTGAAGGGGAAACTAAAAGGAGAGAGGAGGGACAAAGGGACTCACAATACGAACGCCAGTGGGGTCGGCTCCTCGTCATATCAACTAGCGAATCCAAGCAAACGTGTTCATCGTCCTTCGGACCCCAGCCCGGCATTCCGTAAACACCAACCAACGCCAACTTCGAAGTGAGAACTTCACTTCTCTCCACCAAGTCATCGGTTGGTATCCCCTCTTCTTCTTCCATCCAGACCCTGGTCGCGCAAACCAAGCACGTCGCGGCAGTCAGTGTGCTGGCATGCGCAACACGTGGCCCAGCCATCGAAGTCTGACGCGTGATATAACAGTGTTGAGCGGCTCACTCGCTCTTCCTGCAACAAATACACGAAGGCGCCAAAAATACGTGACACCGCGTCCAAAACTGCGGTGTTGTGCTTCTCCCAGGTGACAGAGTCACGGACTTGGACTACGCCGATGATATCGCTTTGCTTAGAGACGATCCACAAGCCGCCCAGAGCGCTTTGAACCGCTTAGTGATAAAGACATCTAAGTATGGCCTGTAAGTCACTCCAGGCAAATTTAAAATACTACTCCAAAATTGGCAAATGTCTGTGCCTGCTCTCAATATTGCTTGTGACGTCCTGAAACAAGTTCCCCGCTTTACTTATCTAGGGAGTTGCATCATGGCTGGCGGCAGTGTTAAAGATAGGGTCGCAAAACGGATGGCAAAGGCCAACCTTGCATCCATTAGACTAAGACACCTATAGCGTCGTCGCGATGTAAGTCTCAAGTTGAGGGGCAGGACGTATATTGTCTGTCCGTGCGGTTCTCTTGTACGACTGTAAAACCTGGCCTATTCGCGCTGACGACATGAAGCGACTGTCAGCTTTGACAATCATTGTCTGCGTAGGATTGCTTGCTTGTAGTGGCAACATCACCTAAGAAACACAGAAATCCGAGACCAAGTGCTTGGAGCAAACAGCACTTACCTCCAAAACGCTATAATCCGACACCGCATGCGTTGGCTCGGTAACGTATTCCGCATGCCAGCCTATCGCCTTCCCCGTCGAGCGTTATTTGCGCCCCCCGGACGCCGTGGTGGACAACCAATGACGTGTAGAAGAAGCATGAAGAAGGCAGCGTCAAGTTTAGCATCCGTCGGACCAGTCCGCGTTCCAAGATGGAGACTATGCGAATCAAATTCCCAGTGTTGGAAACGCAGGATGTGATGGCGCGCAACAGAGATAAATGGCGACAGTGTTGTTCGACTGCATCATCTATTAGTTAATATTTAATCGAACATAAAAACATCCAAAGAAACAAACTCAAATAGCGCGCGTAAAACAAGAAATCATTCCTTCTGCTATTGTATTGTATTGTTATCGTATATACAGGTGGGAGAGCCCATAGCGCGCTGAGGCATGTGATAATGAGATCCGGACAGATCCTTGACCCGCTGCTGCCTCCCCGTGGTGGTATACACCTTTCTTCTAGCTAAGAGCCAAGACAAAGAATTCAGCGTGAGTCGGTTCACTGACTCATGGCACACGGCCCGCTGTCTTTCGAGTATACATTTTATCGAAAACTTTGGCTGAGGACCCGAATCGGTGTGGACACATTGGCAGTATCCAGCCAATCATGTATTGCATCAATACAGATAATTGCATGCTGCATCAGCCATCGCGGTTTTACTACGAAAAAGGGTTGCCTTATCTCCTGCATACAGAGGGGTGGATAAGCGAAAGCATGCTATCGCTGACTCTTCGTCTCTTACTTCTTCCCCTGGATACACCCTCCTTATCCCCATTTCACCTAACCCACAACTTCCTCCAACACAGGCCCCCCACAGAAGTGATTGTGCAACATCCCCATCGTATGCCTCCGCGGAAAGCACTCAACTTTGGGTGCTGAAACCTGCGCACACTACTCAACCGGCACGAGTGAGTGACCCGAACGAAACATTGTGCTGGTCGCGATGAAAGTCGCGGGCTACGGGATCGACATTGCTACACTCGATGAGATGCGGCTCGCTGACCCAGGCAAGCTGCATGGTGCTGGTTACACGCTCCACTGGGTGGGAAACGCTACCTCAGCACTATGTAAACGTGGGGTCGGATTTGTATTATGCGACCGCCTGAATGTCCAGCTAGTAATAAAGCCGACTGGATTAAGCCCAAGATTGATGACACTGCACCTGCGACTTGAAAGAGTTAAGTTTCTTACTTTTATTAGCACGTATATTCCCGCTATGTGTAATCCAGAAGACACAAGGGATTGGTTTTACACTCGGTTGTCCTGCGTGATACGATCCGTACCAAGGAGCGACCGGCTATTCCTACTGAGGGATTTCAAAGTGCGCGCTGGGCGTGATGCTGCGGTGTAGACAAACGTCATTTGTCCGTATGCTATTGGCACAGCCAATGGGAACGGTGACTGGCTGCCCACACTGTGCATCACTCAAGGCCTGACGAGTACCAACACACAGTTTGAGGTGTGCGAGTGATACAGCAATTTGGATGCACCAATGGAGTGGTCACGCTCGCCTGATAAACAATGTCATCGTACGCCAGCGTGAGATGCGTGATGCGCGCAGGACAAGTGCACTGCGTGTATCTGAGTGCGATACTGATCACAAGTTAATGCGGAGCAACCTGTACATATATTTTCGTAAATTGTGTATTGCTCACCTGCCGTGAACCGGCGCAAATCCAAGGTTTTTTCCCTAGATACTATTAAGGAGAGGATGGAACTGTAGAATGCGATGTAGAATTCATCACCACAGTGAGTGATCTGTTGCACCGCATCCGTGAACTGGTGACATATGCTGCCGAGCAAACCATCTGGTGCGCAAACTGTAAGCAACCCGATTGGTTTGATGACAACAATGCGACCATTGGCACATTGGGGTCGGCGAAGAATAAAGCGTTTACTGTACATGTGGCGGGTCCTATAAACTGCGAGGAGTCATTTTCGTAAACCTCGACGGCAATTGACCTGAGAGCTCCGTTGATTCGAGAATACATGGTGGACGGAGAAGGGGAAGCAGATGAAATGCTACGCTGAACACCAACAACATAAAGAATTCTTTGGCTTCCTGAAGGCGACAGCCGCTGAGGTCGCTGTGCAATGCTACTTCAAGCGTTGCATGCACACAGCCAGCAGAAAGAATACACATCTGGCAAACACACTTTGAGTGTCACACGAACAACCGTTCAGAGATTGACTGGCGTACGTTACACGGACCGCAACGGCGAGATATGAAGATGTGTTTTGCAGACACACCAACACTGGATGAGACGCAGAGAGCACACGCTCAGTTGCGAAATGGCAGGTATGCCTGCGACGACGGCATCTCGCTTGAAAGATTGAAACACTGAGGACCCGCTTTGGTAAATGCGCTTCATCAGTTGGTGCAGTGCGTGTGGATTGAAGAGGAAGTGCCGACTAACATGAAGGATGCCCTTGTGCTACCACTGTGCAAGAGCAAAGGAAGTAAGCAATGCATCGCGAATTATCGCGGCATCAGCTTGCTGAATTGTCTGGGTTAAGTGATCGCACGAATCTTGTTCAACCACCATGACACCAAGGTCGTTGAAACGAACGTGGTAGGAAAACAATGCGGATTCCGTTGGGACCGCAGCACCATCGATATAAAGGAATCCCAAGGGTGACACCGACCATCGTACCCGCTGTTAGTTGACTTCAGCAAGGCATTTGATACGGTGAACCGCGAGGTAGTGTGCTTGGTGTTGGGTATGTTTGGTTGTCGGGGTAAGTTTGCAAATCTAACTGAATTTCTGCATCGTGCTATCCGGGCAAGGGTCCAGATCTGTGGACAAACCTCGGACTTTGCTGTGATTTCTAGTGTTAATCAAGGCTGTCTAAGCCCTCGCACTGTTTAATATTTACCTAAAAGTTATGTTTTGCACTTTTGCTGTTGCTTCTAATTACAATGCCTATGTAGAGCATCATTTCGGAGCGAGAACCTGAGTGTGTGAGACAACCATACTTAGGATGCTGTTTATCAACAACTATCTGTTGTTTACACACAGCGCGAGTGAGTTACAGCACATAACTTCGGCTCTGGCTTCGACGACGGTCAAATGCGGGCTCATCATCAACACCAACAAGACTGTTTGTCTTTCTCAGCCATCACTAGGTATGCAGTCCGTGGGTCTGCCTCATACTCAAGTGACCGACAACGTTTAGCAGACAGCGTCGGGTTGTAGTCTTAAGAATCACAAGCCTGCCTGCTGCACCTGGGCAACCGCCCTCGTGATCAGCTCACGCCATTCGCCTCGATCAACTGCCTTTGATTCCCAACTTCTGAAACCAACTTTTGTTGACAATGAACTCACCTTGATCATGTCCTGGTAAGGTAACCTCGGTTTTCCAGCGTGCCGCTTTCCTGCACGAGGTTAGTCATATTGTAGCTGTTTTGGTAACCGGATCAAATTTATACGGTAAACATGCCCGAGCCACTTCAGGTGCCTCAGCAGAAGTGTGCAGTCCACTGCATAGATATCGCTGCGGCGCAGCACCTCAGTGTCAGCAACTCGATTACCGCAGCCGATGCGTAGAATACGACGCAGGCATTGTTGCTGAAATCGCTCCAATTATCGGATTATATATATATATATATATATATATATATATATATATATATATATGAACAACCTACGGATAACAAGAGCCATCAGAAACCATGGGACTCAAAAGTAGGTACAGAAATAGTAAAAGAAAATAGAACACGACACATAAAAGTCGATTGTTTCGTCAGAGGGCGAGATACCACCCGGTTGCCAGAGCCGAAGTAGGGTGTTGACTTAGGGGACACCACCCCGAGCCTTTGGCTGAATATCCTGCCCGCAAGGAGGCGGAGCGAATTCAGGGAATTGCGCCCATTGGGAGTCGGTGACTGATTGCTCAGTTCATACGCCTTTCGTTTTCCTGCGTGAACAACAAGCTGGATTTCGCCCGCGTCGCAGTTGCATCGATCACATCTTTACGATCCGCCAGATACTGGAACATCGCCATACGTTCAGTCGACCAACTAGTCATATTCTTGGACATTCGAGCCGCTTTTGATTCTGTTGATAGTGACGCTTTGGGACTGTTTACTGAAGAGGGGAGTACCTGAGAAGTACATCAGCATTCTCTGTGATATTTACCATCAAACTTTGGGCCGCGTGCGAGCATACGGAGACAGTTCGCCCCCTTTCAGTATCACTAGCGGTGTTAGACAGGGTTGCCCAGCCTCCCCATTCTTGTTCAACTTCGCCATGGACGAGATCCTGGATACTGCCCTGGATAACTCTGAGTCCTGAGGTGTTGAACTGCTCCCTGGTGACTGTCTTCGGAACTTAGAGTACGCCGATGACATCCCTGTGATTTGCGAGTCCTCCCAAGCCGTCAAGCATGTGTTGCTCAGACTGGAAATGTCCGTCTCCCAATTTGGGTTGACTTTTGCCCCTACCAAACGTAAGGTCCTAGTACAGGACTGGCAAAACGCATGTCCTTCTCTCACCCTTTCGGGGCATCCGCTGGAAGTGGTCGATAAATTCATTTATCTTGGGATTTGTCTTAGTATTGGCGGTTCGAGAGATGAGATGTCCCTGCGTGTCTCCAAGGCTAGAGTCGCTTTCGCTAACCTACGTCACCTGTGGCTTCGGTGTGACCACAGCCTCACTCTCAAAGGACGAGTCTATTACGCTACGGTACGAGTGATTCGGCTGTACGGCTGTGAAACTTGGCCCGTTCGAAAAAGCGATGTTCAACGGCTATCTATCTTCAATCACCGCCGCCTGCGAAGCATCGCTGGTGTTCGATAGCAGCATCACATCAGTAATGAGAAAATCCGTCGGCGAGTCTTCAGATCTAACGAACTGCGCCGACCGGTTGATAGTATCATTTCACTGCGGAGGCTTCGCTGACTTGGGCATGTGCTCCGCATGCCTACCCAGCGGCTACCACGACGAACCCTATTTGCGAACACATGCGTGGCTTAGAAGCGACAAAAAGGAGGGCAATGTAAAACATGGATCCAATGCGTTAAGGCGCAAACGTTGAAGCTAACAGTTGTCGGAAGTTCTCGATCCCTGGGTTGGGGACCAAAGGACCCTGAGCACATCGGGCTGCAAACGCGGGAGGATATGGCCACGGGTCGTACGAAATGGCGCAATTGCTGTGAGACTCTTCTACCCTAACAGTCGTTTTCCTTCACACTATATTTTCCACTTAGGTGTTGTGGTACTCAGCCAATTATATTGTTACTGGTATAGTGTTGAATATATATATATATATATATATATATATATATATCTATATATATATATATATATATATATGGTTGGCGGCTTCCGGTTTCGGATTTGCCTGTCACTGTGGCCAGCCAAAGGACGCCTGCGCCTACAGAGGGACCATGGATGGATTGCGCTGCACCACCCACACTCCATATCCAGTGTACACACGGAAGAAATAAGACCAGGAGGCATGTGGATGGGAGCCACGTTTCATCAACGGAGCCGGCCTACACTGCTTCACAGGCACAAACACACGCGCTGTAGTTGGGGAACAAAGCACACACAAAGCGGTGACTAGACCGTAGTCTGCTCCCCACTAAGGGCATGGAATCATACTTCCAGCCTAGCACAGCCAAGGGGACCGAGCACCCCGTCCTCTCCAGCAACGATCCAGTCCAATGAAGCCCGTAATTGAGGTGGAGTGTTAGATAGGTAGGCACCTTGTCAATATTCACATCAAGCGCAGCCACACCGGGGATATCAAACAACCAACAGAAATTAATAGAAAGCAAACATACAAAATTGACACCGAATAGGCGGCAGAATAACCAAGTTGAACAAACCAACTAAATTGAAATGACTTTATCCATATTAGTAGTAGTAGTAATCTCAACAGTCTATCAACTAGACGCAGAGCCAACATAAAACCATGGAGATCAACGGATAAGCAAGAGTCACCGCGTCATAATCATCGTGGCATGCTAGTTGAAGGTGAGCAACACACTTCAGCTAATATGCCGCAGGAAGAATGGAACATTTTGACAAAAAGTAGGACAAAACATTTTAGTTTGTTTTCCACACGCCGCTTTTGCTCCTTTTTTGTCATTTTAATGTTTGTATTATTAAACATGTGAATCAATACAAAACTGTACACAATTCTTCCATTGATTACGATTACGGGCCATGTCTTCAAGAGTGCTAAGCCATTGGCACTCCTCATCTTTGGGTCCCCATCCTGGAAGACATACGGATCCAACAGCGGCTAGACATGACGTCAGCGATTTCATGTGCTGCCGCCAAGTAGAAGGCTGATAACCACGCGGTCGCCTCCAGCCAGGTCCTTGACGAGCGAATAGAGCAAGACGCGGTAGA